AAGTAACAAACACAAAAAACGAAGGAGGAAAGATTAGTACGTAGATGTTTGATAGTTCATTCACCCCTCCCCCTTTCCCACACCCCCACCCTCACCCACGGAAGCACACGCACATTAACTTCAGCAAATGGTCAAATCAAAACCGCAATGAAAGGTGGACAAATAATAAAACAAACAAATTTTAAAAAAGGAGGGGGGAGGGCAGGAAACAGCCCCGACTAGGTTAGATAACAACAATGACTAAGAAGCCGCCAGCAAAAGAAGGCCGCGATGCTGCTGGTGCTGCTGCCATCCATCATCAGTTATAGATTACTTGTACAACTCCTTGGGCGCCTCGCTAGTAGCAGCATTTATCTTTCCGAGAATCGATGAGAGCAATCAAAGGGTACCCCTCCATGATCTGTTATTACGCATCCCCCGTATTGGACAACTATAAAATGGAGACATTAAACATTCATGACCCTCAAGCTGAAAACATAATGTTTTTCAGGAGAATCTTTCAAAAAGTTGGAATGGATTTCTCGGGACTGCGGTGAATAAATTATGAGTTTTTCTCAATCAGCGAAGCCTCAAGCAAGATAGACCGATAACATGGAGATTGGGGTATTGTTTGAATCAAGACCCCCTGCTTCGTGTGTGTGTGTGTGTGTGTGTGTGTGTGTGTGATGTGTGCTGTTGATGTTGATTTGATTTGGGTGGGGAGGGTGCGGGGTGGGGGGAGAGCAAAACACGTAGAACATTCTCGAATTACGCAGGACGCTGTTTGGTTTTGTAGTGTCCTTTGGAGCGATAACACGTTTGAAGACAAGATAAGATCATCTCCTCTCGGATGCAGATCGTTCTATGCTGCTCACTGACTAGTGCTGGGCACTGAGTCGCTTTAGCAAAATCCGAATAATATATTAGTGCACCTCTTCGGTAAATAATAACATGTTATAAACCGCTTCGGCACATGGGTTAGAACCACTTCGACAAACCGGTAAACATCACTTCAACAAATGGGTGCACCCACTTCGGCAAACGGGTCAGGAAAGAGAGTTAAGAGTCTGAATTCGGATAATGTTTTATTAAGGATTATCCGATTATTCGGATATTTATCCGGATTTTGCCCACTTCTATCACTGACCCAATCAACAGATTAATTCTTTTAGCCGCGAGTGTAGGAGTGACGTCACAGCAGGGTGCCGCGCGAGCACTTGCTGTTCAATTCTGCCCTCGTCTCACCAAACTGGAACCGTGGGCTGCTCTCCTGTGGCCCTCTCAGATGAACCGGGAGGGTGGGGGTGGGGGGGTGGAAGAAACAAACAATCAGTTAATTTTAGTTAGCTTTTACGGCGTTCGCAACTCAAAGGTCATACGAGCGCCAAGGGGTGGGTGTCAACAGAGAAGTCCAAACAGGGAATCAGGCTTACTCTACTGACCTCTCTAGCCTCAACAGCACAAGGTCTGTTTTGACTATCAAAGCAAGCCCGGAAATAGCAGTTCACAAGAGAGAGACAAACACACAAAAGAACTAGAGGAAAAATGACGATAGTAAAAATGAGGAAAGAAAAAGCAGCAGTTCCCCCTATGTTGTTCCGGCACAGTTATGAGCATGACATTGATAAATCAGCCCATTTATAATTCTACTGTGCATAAGAACATGTTAATATCCCGCCTTTGGGAACGGCCTAAAGAACCTTCAGGCGGTAAGCACTACTCTGGAACAACAACCCAAGTTAGGCCAAACATCCCCACATAATAAAATCTGTCTACATTTACACAGATGGTTTGGGTTTGTATCCCTTGTGAGGAATGGTTTAGGGAAAATAAACGCGGAGTGTTGGTTACTCTTTTAAATGTTAAGCTTTTCAATTTTAGAAAGAGTTTTCCAACATAATTAGGTCATATATGTGCCGCAGATTTGAGGTGTCACAAGAGATAAACATAGAAAAGAAAGAGAAGAGACAAGGACGATAGATGTTTGATAGGGAAGAAGAAAACCACAACCAAACACCCACTAACCACCCACTTTGCCAATGTTTCCTTTTTTCGAGCAGGTCACTAACCTATCACGCTAGACTTTGGGTGATCGGTCCTAAACCCCCTAATGCTAATCCTGACCGCAATTCTTACTCAAACTTAACCCTAGCCCTAACTCCAACCCTAACCGTAAATCCAAAACCCTTATCCTAACCGCAAATCTAACCCTAAACCCTAACCCTAAACCCTAAACCCTAACCCTAACCCTAACCCTAACCCTGACCACAATACTTACTCTAATCTTAACCCTAGCCCTAACCCTTACTCTAACCAGTGCGCAGTTGGCGGGTGCTCTGTTTTGGTTTGCTTCTTCTTTCCTATCAAACATCTATCGTCCTTATCTCCCCTTCTTCTTTTTTATGTTTGTTATTCTCTTGTAATATATCTAATCTTCTGGCGCTCATATGGCCATATACAGTTGCGAGCGCCGTAAATCTTCTACTAAACTAAATCCTTCTTGAACCCCAACCCTAACCGTAAATCCAAAACCCTAATC